TTTTTTTTTTTTTTTTGGTACTGGGGATTGAACTCAGGTCCTTTTGCTTGCAAGGCAGGTGGTGGAACCACTGAGCTAAATCCCTGGCTCTCTAGGATACTTATATATGTTAAATCTGAGCCATTTATGTGATTGGAATACTGCGTTAAGGCTTCTTTGTAAACGCAGCCTCTTGCCTATTACAGATCTTCCAAGTGTGATAGCTTGCCAGGATCATTGTGTTCAAGCTGATGACAGAGTCCCCAGACTGGGGTCAAGACATCAGCCTGCAGTTGTGTGAGACCCTGCTGCTTCCAGACTCGGTCCTGTTGGGTCAGGGCTTTGGCAGGAGGCTTCGGGGGGAAAAAGCAGCCACAACCCTGGGAGTGTGCAGCCTTTTTAGAGTGCATTACCCTGCTCATGAAACATATGTTGAAGAAGAAAACTGCTGTCACTCGTCTCTGCAGACTGACCAAGCTCAGAAGCTGCGAGTCCCATCGTGGGGAGCAGCTGCCGTGAGGAGTGGGCCCCATTGCACCTGGCCCCACACTGCGGCTCTCCAGCTGCTCCTCCCGTGCTGAGCATGTGTGACCGCACTAGAGGTGGAGACCAAGCCAAGTTAGGAGGTGGCCCATGATGCAACTAGCGATGCCTTTCCCATCTGTGCCAGTAGTTATGCCTTCTTGCGTGTGTGTGTGTGGGGGGGGGTGGTCTCTGGGAGAAAAGACAGGAAATGGCTGCTTTACGACTGACAGTTTTATTACTTAAATGTATCTAGTTTTTCTCTGAGGTCTTGGTTGAGATAAAAACTCCACGGAGAGGAATGTCACAGTGCTCAGCGGTGATCTAGAAGGACAGCTTCACATGAGAGCTGTACTGTGGGGTCAGGCATTCTCCACATTTCCCACACAGAGCCCTACCTACCTTGTGACTGGCCCTTTTGGCTGAGTCTCGGTCATTTCATTGTCTGTTTGAACCAGAGCGCGTATCTTGAGACCTTGGTAACAAGGAATGTGGCTGCCTGCTCCTGCGGCAGGGGTGATGAGCCCAGGATTCCCGTGAGGAACCAGGTGCCCTCGTGTTCTCTGATGACCACACTTCCTGCCACCCACGGCCCAGCTGCCGCAGCGCCCCTCTCACAGCACGTCCGTGTGGTGATGGTGACATTCAGGGCCTGGCCACACTCCTCCCTATCCACCTGTGTGACCGGCAGGGTTGTCAGCATTTCATCCAGGTCAGTGCTATTAGTTGTCCAGCCACTGAGAACACCCACCGTCCCCGGGACGAGGATCTGTTCTGCAAAGTCCCGCTCGGGGATGCACACAGGGACCCCCCAGCCAGGACAGTGCATGGGCTGCTCCAGCTCAAGCAGGGAGACGTCGTTCTGGCCCAAGGCCGCGTCGTAGCGCAGGTGCACATGTGCACGCCTGACCCTGGCCGTCCTCGGGGCCTCACCTGGCCTGGCAGGACCTGGAGTTGGGTGAGAAGCTGCTCAGAGACTGACCGCCCAGGGAGCCCACATATGTGACAGCAGGTCACAGGATGGTCCCACCGCCAGCACAGCCTGTCCATGCCCTCCCCACAGGCAGCGAGTTCTCATTCTGGAGAAGTAGGAGCATCAAGGAGGAACTTCTCCAGGCTGAATTAACCCATCTGCTCTGGAAGGTTTTCAGGCTGTTTCATTGCATCAAAAGTTTACTAGGCTAAAGAGTGAAAAATACATTTCCTTTGAAGTCCTTCACATTTGTTACTGAGCACAGTGGTGGTTTATCACAGGAAGTCACAGACTCCTGAGGGCGAGAAGCTACTGCACAGGTCCATCCAGGGACTTGGGCCAAGTGTGGCTGCCCCAGTTCTGCCTCTCACAGCGCTGCTCCATTTTTATAGGTCTCCTACTCCTGCTGAGTGCTAGTCACACTTGCCTGCCACCCCCAGACGTTCTCCTTGATGTTTTGTGTCTGCTTTCTGATCCTTTAACTCTCAGTGACACTGAGGCTCAGTTCAGTCCTGTCTCACATTAGAAACAGGTTGTACTTCCAGTGTGATCTTACAAAAATTCTCAAAAAATACTTACTTGATTTGACAGTGATATTTCTGTGCAGTAGTGAGCACTGTGCTGTTGTCAGTACAAAGCTCTCCTGTATTATGACACCACTGCAGAAGTCTTTCCCTTGCGAATCTGTCAGTTTGACCTTTGAAAAAGAAAACACACTGGGCAGCTGGGGGCATGTTCAGGGTTAGGACAGTGGAGCCACTGGTTAAGGACGGTGGCTACCATGTGTGTTGCACAAACCCCAGAAAGAGCAGCTAGACCTTGAGCAGATCACAGCAACCCACACTTCTGTCTGTGAGGTGCACATGGACCCCCTTCTGCCCAGGTGGAGAAACAGATCCACCTGTCCACCACGGACCAATACGCAACAGCGGCTGTAGAGCAGAGGCTACCCAGGGCCAGTGTCTCAGACACCACTGCCCGGCACCTGCCCTGGGTGTCCACGGTGCAGGGTGGGATGGCCAGCTCTGGCAGAGGCTGGGGACTCCCTGCATTGCCCACACTGGGGTGCACCTGAGCCCAGGGAGCCCCGGGACAGATGGGGTCCCAGAGGGGATGACCTTGGCACAGCTGCAGGTGCACAGCTTTCAGCAGTGATTTGCACACGTGTGGAAAGAAGACACCTGAGCCACGGAAGAATTGGAAATGGTGCTCATCCTGCCAGCCACAGCAGCAAGGCTGCTCGGTGTACACCACATGGTCTGACTGCTGTTGGGAAAGCCAGGCCTGCACCGAGTACCCCTCCAGTCCTACCCTGTCTTAGAAGCAGGGGCTTTGGGTGACATGTCCCCAGTGTCTGACCTGCACCCCAGATCAACACAAGTACCCAGAGCATGGCATGACCTGGCTCCGGCCAGGGTGGAACACCATGCCTATCACCCACTGGAGGTCACCAGGCAACAAACTGCCAGGGCCCAGGCTGGGAAGATGAAACTGCTGACAGATGTCAGTAAGCAGGAGCAAGACAGTGGGGACTGTATTCCAGATATGCAAAGTTAAGGGGAGAAAAAAAGCTCGACCTTCAGAGGGCGGCTGTAGTCTGTGATGGGATTGTCGGCTCTGCAAGAGAAGGCTGGACACCATGAGGACACAGCAAGAGAAATGACCTACATAGACGCAGAAGGGCAGGAGATGTGTTAAAGTGACCAGCTGTCACTGGGCTGCAGGATACTGACAGTCTAAGCCCATCGAATCTGCAGTGCTCCAAAATCCAACTTTCTGAACTGCCACGGCACTGAAAAAGTTTGGGATTTTGAAGCATTTCACATATCTGGACTGGGGACATGCAGCCCATAGTCTCCATAAATACTCCAAAATACAAGGGACTCTGAAAATGAACACTTCTGTGTGTCCCAGCACTCGGGGAAGAGCCCCCTCCTTGCCGCCCCACAGGGCCAACTGATCCGGGCCTGGGAGGCAGGTGCACACCGATTTCAGTTGGACCTGAGCAGCACTAAGGCAGAACGCAGGGCCAGTTCTGGATAATTTTCACTTCTGTTACTGGCCAGCCTGGCTCTTGTGGTTTGTTTTGGGAAACTGCATGTAGTCAGCCAGTTGGCTCTAAACTATTTCTAGGACTGTAGTAGAAATAGCACTGAGGCTGTGTGCCCAGCCAGTGCACGGGCTGCCACTCCCGGAGCACAGGAACGTGAACAGCAATGCCATGGCCAGCACGGCCACTGCACCACCGAGGAGGGCTGATGGTCCCACCACCCTGCCCTCCCCGTCCAGAAGGGGCAGAAAGCAATGGAAGGGTGGAGGGCACCAGCTCTGTCCCTCAAGTCCAGCCTGCACTCTGCGCTGGTCCCCTGTCCCCACCTGCTGCCAGAGTAGCCACGCAGGACAGGGCTATTCTGAGCATCTGGCCCTCAGGAGGAGCCATACTAAGCTGCCCACATGCGTCAGAGCACCAAGATGGGGTTCTGGGGGCACGCTGAGTGCTGGTGCAAAACACTCCAGAGCTGCACACTCAGGACAAAGGGAAACTAAGTGGCGGATATTATTTATGTGTGAGAATAATATTCGCATAGATTGGGCTAAAAGCTATTATCAGAATTAATCTCAGCTGTTTGTAGTGTGGCTACTAGAAGGTTTTAGACGCGACACATGAGAGCAGAAGGAACGGGTTTGCCCAGGGGAGTCGGGGCCAGCAGGGAATCAGAACCAGTACTGCTGGCATGAAAGCATAGTAGTGCAAAGCCAAGACCTGTTCTGTGGAATTATTTTTAAGAAGCAAGAAGAATTAAATTAAAAATTTAAGATGCAAGAAAAGAATGAAAAGGCTAAAATAGGAGGTTACTGAGGTGCTTGGACTTGTCCTGAGTAGGGTCCGATGTCTGCAGCTCAGGACCAAGCGTGAAATAAATGGAAACAGGACATTTAACTTCCAAACCAGTCAAGGGAGAAGGGGGCAGAACGGGCATGGAGGCCGAAGAAGAGATGGTTAGACGGAGCCCTGCTATGCAGCCAGGCACCCTGCGAGGGAGGCCTGGCCCATGAGCAGTGCCACGAGCTCTGTCTGGAGCAGCTAATGCTGCTTCTGAATAAATAGAAGAATAAAATGAAGGCAAGATGATAGGAGACCGGTGATAGGGGTGGGAACAGTCAGGATAACAGTGTAGACCTTACTGACTTCCCACAATGAATGTGATGAGCACGCATCACAAATACATAGTAACTAAAAAAGAAAGGCACTCCAAGTGGGATGGAGATCAACAGCTTCAGGCCTAGGGCACAATGCGTGACTCTCTTCTTGCCAAAGGCCCTGGGTTTGCACCCAATACCAAAGAAAGGAAAAAAGATGCACCTTGTCATCTCCATCTTCCAACTAGGTCATGATTAGGATTACAGGCCTGCCCACCACACTCAGCCACAAGATGAAATTTGCAACAAAGTAAAAGCCGCTGGTAGAACATGTGTTACCTGCCACGGGAAACCAGTTGGTCTCAGCCCACTGCTTTCTGGCATCTTGACGTGTTGGGAAGCCAGGACTCCGCACGCACACTGCTCTTCATGATGGCAGCAACAGAACAAGAAAATCACCATTTTCCACACCGAGCCAGCCTGACCCAGGGCAGCCTCAGACCCCATCCCATCCCAGCGATTTGAGGGGATCTGCGTACGGAGAACCTGTGACTCTGAGCTTACTGTGCATTGCAGGTAACAGACAGGCAAGACTCAGGAAGAGTGTCCTCACTGCAGAGGAAACACCCCCTTCCCCTGCTGGGACGGGACCCATGACCTCGTGTGCTAGGCAGGTGCCCTACCACTGGGTTGCCCAGGCCGGCCTTGAACTTGTGACCTTCCTGCCTCCACATCCCAAGCAGCTAGTGTGCACCACTGTGCCCTTGGCCATCCCCACAGGAGGAACAGGGCGTGGATAGGGCCTGGCCTCACCATGGGGAGCACACGATCTTCGGTCCTTGCCCAGCTTGTGGCCCTGTGCGCAGCTGCACGTGTAGGATGCCTGCCCCGGGTGGCAGAAGTGCTGGCACCCATCCAGCCTCTCTGGGTGACATTTGTTCTTAGCTGCAAAGGGGCAGAGGCCAACCAGAAATGGGGAATGGACATGGACTCACCTGTTCACCGCCCCCGGCCCAAGCATCCTGTGCAGTTCTCCCCACACACTCTCCAGGAAGCGCAGAAGGAGGCAGGACTGACCTCAGATTTGTCCTGAGGAGACCACCCCCCCCGGTGTGTGTGTGTGTGTGTGTGTGTGTGTGTGTGTGTGTGGGAACATGCATGCCTCTTTCGGCCTGTGATGTCCCTGCAGGGACCATCCCGAATTGCCTCTCGGAGAAAGTGTGGGACAGGAGGGCTTAGTAAGGCCATGTGGGCAACTGGAGCACCCTGGACGAGGTCAGCCCCTTCTGCCCATCCACAGGATGCCAGAGCGGCGGACAAAGCGGAGACCTGGGAGTGCAGAGCATTTCCTGCGCATGCCATGACTGCTCACTGTGACTGCATTGTCCCTGTCTAAGGTGCCCGCATTGTGCCACCACTGGCTGTGTGGGCAGCAGGAGAGGACCTGGAGTGGGGGCACGGCTCACCCAGGGCACAGGTCCTGCCCTCAAAGCCTGGGGCGCAGGTGCAGGTGAAGCTGCGGATGGCATCTTGGCAGGAGCCATTGTTGAGGCAGGGCTGGGAGACACATGGAGAGCCACCTGGGAGATGGGAGCCTCTGCTGAGTGCCCTGTCAGCCCCTCCCTCTGCCCCGTCACATCCGTCTGGGGTTTCTAGAGTCCTTGCTCTGGCCTTCTTCCCACCCTAGCTCCCCACGTCCTGCCACACTTCCGCCCCCACCTCCCAAGGCCGCCCTCCTGTCGTCCTGGGGCATCAGGCACAGTGTTTTGGCCTGACTCGGGCGGCACCCCTGTCCCAATCCAGCTTCATCTAGGAGAGGACCCCAAGAAGGACAGAAAGACACTCACCCCTGTACTCTCTCCAGAATGCATCCTGGGAAAGAAAAATGCAGATGTGTCACAAAAACAAGTTTGTTCTGCTCCTTGAGGTTAATGCCGGCTGCATTCACCCAGCAGCAGAATGTTAGCGGGAACATCGGCCCAGCAGCCCACTGACTTGTGTCAATTTGTACTTAGTGTGCGTGTAACCTGTCATGGCCCAGTGGAGGGGAGACAGAGACAAACTCCACCCACCCCATCGCTGCCCTCCCGGGGCCATCGCAGGCCCCGTGTTGCCGTTTTGGTTTTGAGGGTAGGACTGGGGGACATCTAGTGGTCAGCAGAGCCCTTGATGGGACAGGCATATGGCACGCACACTTCCCCGCTCCACAAGCGCTGGGCAGGGCAGCATCCCTTCGCCAGAAATTTGGAAACTGAAATTCAGGACAGAATGCTTTGAAAATTCTCTTTTCACTGCGCTCTTCACTGTGTTAAAGATGGGCTGTTTCTGCAGAGTCCCCTTAGGGAGTGTATTTAGGAGACTGTAACTGAAGTGATGTTACCTTTATATATAAAAATATGATTTCTTTTTCTGTGCTGGGCATCAAGCCTAGGACAAGCGCTGCACTCTGAACCCAGCCCAGCCAGGAAACAGTTACTGAACTTCTGCTGCTGGTTTTTTTTTTTTTTTTTTGGTACCGGGGATGGACCTCAGGTCCTTGTGCTTTCGAGGAGGATGGAGGAACCACTGAGCTAAATCCCCTGTCCCTTGCTGCTATATTCTGCAACGTTCATGTACAAATATTCAGCCTGGGGTTCAGCCCTGTATGTGCCGCTAAGTCTGTGCATAAGTAAACAGTGAATCTGATCAGTATTATTTACAGTAGACCCACAGTCACATGCAGGAGAAAATCATTTACTGCCTTGGAAGTACAGATTATGAGACATTTTCTTACTACGTACAGGGAAGATTATTGTGTTTTCAAGCTTTTCATTGCTGGAGTGGAAGCCGGGGCCTCACTCACACTCACACTCACAGCTGAGCTGCATCCCTACACTGCCCTCGCAGCCCATTTCACAAGGAAGCCACACGGTGGCAGTGACTTCCGGCTGTGACAGGATGGGCAGCTGTAGGTTGGATCTCCTCGCCTCTGGGCCCCTTCCCTTCACTAACTGATCATGCGTGCCTCTGAAGAAGAGCTGTCTGAAACTGCTGCCCTTTTTTCTTATAACAAATATAAAAAATAAAGTGAGTTTTCTTTTTTTTTTGTTTTTTTTTGTTTTTTGTTTTTTGAGACAGGGTCTCAGTTGAGACTGACCCAGAACTCACTATGTAGCCCAGGCTGATCTCGAACTCACAGTGATCCTCCTGCCTCACAAGTTTTGTTTCTTATGAACATTAATGATGTTGCCAGGTGTGGTGGCGCACCACTGTAATCCCAGCACTTGGGAGGCTGAGGCAGGAGGATCACTGTGAGTTTGAAACCAGCCTGGGCTACATAGTGAGTTCTAGGTCAGTCTCAATTACATAGTGAGACCCTGTCTCAAAGAAAAAAAAGAACATTAATGATATCTGTTTTTTGAGCAGCTCAGAATACTTCCTGTTCACTCAGATTGGACCTGCAGCCAGAGCTGCCCCACAGGAAGCAGAGCTGTTGGCCAGTTTACGCACCGTGGCTTCATCATCTTCAAACACTTCTCTGGCCTCTTCGTGGACGCAGATCTCTTCATAACATTCTTTTTCCAAGTTGCCCTCGAAGAGCTCCTCCAGGATGTAGGAGCCAGCACGCTTCCACCTCAGCAGAACTTGGTTTGCGCTTGTGGCCGGAACAAACACTGCAAGGCAAGGGAGGAGCACAGGGCACGTCAGCAGGAGCCTAGAGCACGGGGATGCCATGTCCGGTGGGCCTCTGTCAGCCCTGAGGGCAGCACCTGGCCTGGGTTACTGCCTTGAGGCCACTAGTCACTTCCCTATTTGTTGAGTGCGTGGACAGCCCTTGTGAATATGAACACTGGTGTTTATGGAGGAAGATTCCAGGGCTAGGAGAAGCAAGACTCAATCAGCCTGGAGCTGGCCAGTCACCACCAGCCCACTTAAATTTCACCGGTCCTGGTTGGTTCTGTTCTCAGTGTTGCCAGAACTCCAGTCTGGGCTGCACCCTTGCTATAGACACGTGGCCACCAAATGCCGTGTCGCACAGATGGACAGCTGTGGCTGAATGACAGCCAAGGGTGTGGGCTGTCCTGACTCCACGGAGGGTGCCTGATATCAGGACGAGGCAGGAGACACAGGAGCTCTGAGGGTCTCTGGCAGGATGACTGAGGTGCAGGCGGTGACCCTGCCGAGAACAGGCCCCTGTGGGCCCAGCTTCTTCCACCGTGCTAACCCTGGGAAGCTGACCTGGAAGACCCTGGAGCTCAGCCTGGGTGGGGGATGGGACAGGCGGCCCTGCACTTGCTGTCAAAGGGCTTGGAATGCTGTGATGTGACACGGCTGTGGGGAGGATGTGGCGGGTGGGTGGGGATGGTGCTGAGACCACCGAGTTCCCAACGGTACCTCCTCTGCTGCTCTCCGCTGTCCTGGGCCATGGCTTCTCTACCTTTCACAGGTGCTTGGTGTCCCTCCCAGCCAAGACAAGACATCTGCTGCCCCATCCTGTCCTCTTTGCCAGGGTGCATCCCCAGCCCTGTGTCCCGTATCGGCATGGCTAGGGAGGCCCAAGGCCATAGTGCCGTTCCCAGCACATCGTCACCAAGGACAAGACCCAGTGGCCCTTGGGAGGGAGAACCGGCAAGGCCATCCCTCGGGGCTGCCCGGCTCCTGGGAAAGATGTCCTCTGAGACCCACTGTCCAGTGCCTACCCGACGGTTCTGCCTGGTGGAAGAGGAGGAGGAGGAGGAGAAGGCCCCGGTGCAACAGGACACAGCCAGCCATGCCGATTGGAGCCCAGCCCCGCAGGGCCAGGTGATCAAACAGCCAAAGTCCAGCCCTGGGAGGTCAGGAGGCGAGGGAGGCCAGGAGGGGCCCTGTCCACTGGCACCTGGGACCTCTCGCGGCCAGTGAACCTCACTTGTGCACAGGCAGCATGGGCCACCTTCTCCAGGCCTTGCTCCTTCCTGCTCCTTCTCTGTCCACCCAAGAGAGAAAAGGCAGAGGCAGAGGATCTTGGGGAGTCCTAGGGAGGCCAGGGGTGAATCGCAGGGAAGAGGGATGGGGACCCCTAGAGGGAGCTGATGGCAAGAGCAGGTGACAAGAGGCTGCTCCAAGCTGTGTCCCAGGACCCTCTGCAGGGTCCTCGCTGAGGGTGCAGCTGTAAGGGGATGCAGTGACACGGGGCCCGAAGAGAGGAGAGAGAGCACTGGGATGAAACAGAGTCCCACAGTGCTGTTGACAGTGCTCATGTGGGGACCCGAGCTGCCTGGGACAGAAGCATGGGTGTAGGTGCAGCCGCCATGGCTGTGAAGAAGAGCCAGGCTGAGACTGACCCCGGGGATGGATCTGGGGTCACAAGGGCTGCCTGAGGACCAGCCCACATGGCCCTGTGGTCTGACAGCAAAGCCGAGCTCAGGCGGGGTCTTCCTGGGCAGCAAATGCTCTCCACAGTAAATAACAGCTTTGTGGGCTGAACAGACTGTCATGAACACTCAGCCAGGATGAAATCCTGCTAGGGACACCGTTGCCAGCCACTGCTGTGCCTCTCTGCCAACTCTCTGTCCCTGTTCTCTGGGCTGACAGCCCCTGGTGCTTATGGCTCTCTGTAAAGCGACTGCTCTGTCCTCACCACCTATAGACTTGCAGGACCTTCAGAGCCCACACTGCCCAAGAAATGCATCACGAGCAGATGACACAGAGTCATCAGTGGGGCTGTGTTTGAACAGACCTGTGCACACCTGGAAACAGCGCCCTTCTATACCTGGCCAGTGAGGGCAGGGGAGCACTGCTAAGAAAGGCGGCTGTAGGCCTATGCTTGGCCCAAATTCAGGCCTTCTGATTGGTCCAAATTCAAGCCTCGTGCGATTGGTCCAAATTTGAGCCTGTTGACTGGATTATGTTTGGGCCTACTGAATGGTCCCGACTCATTTCTATTGTTCAGTTGAAATTCAAGAAGGGCGAACACCTCCTGGTGCAGGTATGAATGTCCGGGATGGTGGCAGGTGTCATGGTGGTGGCAATGAACCAAACACTGGGAGATGTGGCAGTTGATGAACTGTTGTGTCCCAGCAAAAAACAGTGGGGCCAAAACAAGGTACACTGGCAAGGGCTATGCTCAGCACAGCTGACTGGAGATTTGAGACATTAACAGCTGACCAGGCCCTATTCCATCTCTGCTGTATTTCCAGCCGGGTCCCCACCACTTCCTTAGTATCTGAGGATGAAGTGGGGGCACCAAGGGTGACAGCTGCGGCACACCTCCTGTCAGAGTTGAACAAGGTAACCCTAGGGGTGGTGGGAGGACCCTGAGGCAGGCTGTCCCGTTCCTCCTCAGGGATACGGGGAACTGACTGAGGGGTGGGCAAGGCAGCTGTTGACACAGGGAAAAGAGGGGAGTCTGTCCTGCGGACACCAGTAATGGAGCAGTGGGGACGTGTACCAATAAAGCTTTATTTGTAAGAGCACGCAGTGGGCTGCATCCCAGATGTGCTGTCCTAAGGCCAAGGTAAGAACTTAATATTTCATTTGCAGATGGTAGGAAGACGGTAGAGTCAGGAGAGAGTCTCGGGAAGCTTCGTATCCTGAAAGGGTCCCATGGTTGTGTTGTGGGGGACAACCTTCCAGAGCAAGCTGGAAGGAGGGAGAGAAGTCCTCGGGAGGCCGCTGCCCTGGTCAGGGTGGAGTAAGGTGACACGTGGCCCCAGGGACCGCAGCTGTCCTCATGAGGAATGGCGGACCCTGGCGGAGAGGGTCGCGGCAGCGCATGACCTGTGCAGCTGTGTCCGTGGCCACACTCTCCAGTAGGGGAGGCCAGGTGTGGGGACACAGTGAGCCCAAGCTGGCCGCAAAGGGTCCGGTGTGGATGTGGGGTCAAGTAGGGACAGGTTCCCAGGGAGACGGGTGAGAGAGAGAGGATGGGGGTGCCAGCCCAGGAACTGCTGACTGAGGGGCCTGTTGCGGGCGTTAGAGTAGAAACAGACAAACTGATAGCCTTAGGGGTGTGAAATTTGTTTTAAAAGTTGAAAAAAAAAATTTTTCAGCAGTGGGTGAGTCAAAATAACTTCAAAGCTAGGCTGGAAATTAATTAATGTGTGGGGTTGGTCAGGTGGGCGACTGGCAATCATCACGTGTCCCTCCCGTGAAAGGGCGTGGAAAAGGTCCACACTAAAAATGCTCCTGCAAGATAATTTTAGAACCAGGAATAGCTGCTTCAAAATGGGAAACCAGACAAGGGCTCCAGGGTCTGAGCAGTGGTGGGCCAGTGTGCGGGTGCCTCCTGGGTGACAGGCCCTGTCCTGTCAGCTGCCAGGCAAAGACACACGGTGGACAACCTCATCCACATCCTGTGCCCTTGAAGCTCTGGAGGCCGAAGTCTAAGGAAAGGAGCCAGGACGTGCAGATAGGGCCGTACCGCTGCACCTGCATGCAGCAGGCAGAGAGGGACAGGGCACCCTGGCCCTGTCAGAATGGCACCAGCCCTCAGTGTAGAGTCACAAGCCCCTCCTCCAGACACCACTGGAGTGGGGATCAAGTTTCACAATGTGAATTTCAGGGGGACACACACATTCGGAGCAGCACAGCATCTGAAATGCTCTGTGCAGTGCTTCAGCTTTCCCCGTCTGGCGTCTCCAATGTAGCAGTTTTGGACCAGACACCCAGTGGCGAGTTGTGGAAACACTAAGCTTGAGCTCCTGTGGCCATCCCGACTCCTTATTGAGGGATAGCCCTCCACACCTGGTCCTGCCCTTCCAGAAAGAGACCTACAAATTCGGGGCCAGCTCCTGCTACCTGCAGTGCCCCCTTGGTCTGGACACCTGCAGAGATCTTCCTCCCCATGAGGCATGGAGACCCCTCTCTGTCCCTCTCCATGCATCCTCTGTGAGCGGTTGACAAAATGTGCAGAATTGGACATGAGCGGCTGTTATAGCTGCCTCTCGACGTGTCCCCCCCCCCCGATTAGGAGTCTCAGGGGGTCATAGGTGGGGCTTTCTCAGAGGTGGCTGGATCGAAGGTGTGTGAAGCTGGAATTGATTCATGGTGCAATTCTAGGATCAAGGCCCCTAGGATTAAGTGAGTGCCACTGCCCTAAGTAGTCTGGGTAAATAAAAGGGGCATAAAGATACTGTTAAGGCCCCTTGTTGCTTTGCTACCTTCTGCCCACTATTAACTGTGATGCCACCCAGCCTTGGAGCCCACCGATTAGGGACTGAAACCTCTGCAAACTGTGAGCTAAATAAACCTCTCCTCCTTTAACTTTGCATGTCGAGTATTTTGTCTCAGAAATGAGAGAAGTAACTGAGACAGCGGCCCTCCCGCGTGTGCCTTCACTGCATCCCAGCATAGCCACCGTGTCTGATTGGCTCTCCAACCTTCCTTGGGTCCCAGCATCTCTGCACTCGAGCTGCGTCTCAGTCAGCTGTGTCCTGGTGCCGGCCAGTGGGGGCTGAGTTCTTCCTGAAGGGTTTTGTGTTTTGTGCTGTCCCCTCCACCACTGCCACCTGGATGCACCTGAGTGAAGCACATTCCCAGAGGATAGCCCCTCCCCACTGTGGCCGGTCTGAGCATCACTCCTCCATTGTTGACTTGTCTGCCTCTCAGTCACTTTCTTGAGGCTGCAACACAATATTCGACACAGGCCACTTACAGGAACAGAGGCTTATTTGGAATCACAGTTTTAGTCCACAGTCAGCTGGCCGCAAGGCAGAAGGTGTGGGAGGGCCTGGCAGAGGAGAGCTGCTCAGGGCATGGAGAACAGGAAGCAGAGAGGAGTTGCATGGAGAGGGAGATGCCAGTGAGCACCTCTTCCCAGCAGACACCCTTCTACAGCACATCAGCTATGAACCCATCAGTCCGGTGATGAGTACAGCACCCTGTGATCCAGTCACCTCCCCAAAGTCCCGCCTCTGAGCTCAAGAAGTTTGGGGTCTTCCTAATCTACACCATAACAATCTGTCAGCGTGAGTCTTGAATTCCCTGAGCCAGGGCCTCACAACACCACCCTGAGGACTGTGGATGACTCTCTGCCCCACACAAGTGCCCCAGACCCAGCAGAACACACAAGGAGAAGCCTTACAGGAACAAAGCTGTGGTCTTGTGTTCCATTGTCTCAAAGTGATAAAAGCAATCAGTGGCCTTGTGAGTGTCAAACGCTCTGCAGTCAGCTTGTGTGGGGCCATGGGCACCTTCCTCAACTATATTTTGGGACCAGGGAACTGGGTCCAGGCTGCCATTTGGGGCTTCTGGCTGCACTTGCTCAGCCTGAACTGCTATCCCTGTCCAGAGGGGGGCGGCCAGTGCTATAGAGAGACCACACAAGCCTGGATCACCCTTTCAGGCCTTGATGATCAGGGTCTAGGGTCTGGACTGTCTTTTTTGTTTCTGTTTTTGTTTTGCGATCATTGGTGTTTTGAATAAGATATTTTTCACTGTGGTAAAATACGTGTAACCAAAGGGACCCAGCAGACTGGATCTTTCCAAAGTCTGCCCTGTGGTCCTCTGTGGCTACTTCTGCACACGCACATACAGGCTTGATTTGTGTTTGTTTTCCTCTGGGAACTGGGGCTGGCAGCATCTCAGGAACTCTTGTTCTAGGGACAACCACAAAGTCCAGTGTGGTGGCCTGGGGCCATGATCGGCTTTTCCTGACCCTCTGCCAAGGTCAAGGGATTCACCCAGCCTGTGTAGAGGGGTCGCATGGCCCCTGCCTCTCTTCCTCTTTGAACTCTGTGAACAATTCTGCAACCTCGGCCTGCGTGGACGATGGGGACTCATGAGGCCTGGGGGCCAGGGCCG